CTCGAAAGGCACAATTACGCTTATTCCATCTTTGTGTACCCAAATTTTGGCTTGACTATAGCTAGACTTGTGTGTGACAAGTAAAGCCAGAACAAAGGGGAGAAAATAGAAAAAAAATAAGAAAATCCTTTAAGATAAATATCAGAAAAGAAGTCAACTAAACTGGCTAGCTTTGTTTAAAATAAAACCAAATAGAGATATAAAATATGAACATTCAAATATTTTGCCCAGAAAGGCAGGTAGTATTTTGACAGTAAGTGTAACTCAAATAACAATAAATAAATTATGACAATTCACAGATTTTCCATTACAACACAAGTATGAACACTTACTCAGAGACTCATTGTCCTGGATCCTGGAAGTTAACAGATCTCCTTTCCACAGATACCCCTTGAAGTGAGCAGTGAAATCTATGCTAAAATTCACCTTTACCTGTATGATTGTTGTTGGTTATTCCTTTGGGTAATAGCAAAAATGTCCTAGAGTTTTTGTTTTCTGATTTACTGTCAAAACAATATGTGTGCATTCTCAGGAATGGCAATTATGAGATCTTCAGGGTCCTATGTAACATGACTTATACTTCCATATTTCATAGTCAGATGGAAAAAGTGAATTTCTCAACTTTCAGGCAATTGTACAAGGCAGAGGCCTATAGATGGACAACACTGTGTAGAAATGGAATATTAGATGTAGAATGGTCCGTGTGATCTTGGGCAGGCATTTCAACTTCTCTGTACTTCATTTTTCTCAAATGGACATTGAGGACATTGGCCCATAAGATATTTGAAGCTTATTGCCTCAGTCTAGCTGTGTTTTAGGCCTCTATAATTTAACTTTTTAAGATACATATCATAAAACTGTGCTACCTATTGTATTTAACGGATCTCCTTTTTCCTACCTATCAAGCACGCTACCTCCCTAAATGATTGATTAAGTGCAAAGATCTTAGACATCTCTCTTCAGTCTTAGGCCCTGAACATGTGGCCATGCCTTAACTTCTGTGCCTGTTTTTTTTTCACTTTAAGAGTTCTCGAATACTTTACTGTGATAATGTGCCTTTGGAACCTCTAGTCTAGGAGTGTAGAATGCAGTATCTCCTTTTTTTGCAGGATGTCTATCAACACATGTCACATTGCTCATTTCTGATTAGTTTTAAGGCTATCAATATTTAAAGGGTCATTCCTTCAAACAGAATTAAATTATTATAACCAGTCACAAAGCTTTAGTGTTCAGATGAATTTCCATTTCATATCTCATATTCTACTAGGGGATTATTCTCAAAATTCTAAGTATATTTTGGAATGCTCATGAATATTTTCACCTTATATAAAAGTTATTTTTATATTTTTTTGTTCTTTTGGTGAACTGCAGTTTTATGGGTTGCCTAATTATAAATATTGAGACAATTAAAGTAAATGTAAATTTCCAGCGTGTTAACTGGTGCTTAGGCATAAACAGATGGCCCCAGTGCAGATGATCTCAGATATTTGACTCCTACTCACTTGTGGGTCATAAATCATGGTTACAACCAAAGGCTCCAGAGCTAAAATAATTAATTAACAAGCTAACTGAATAAGTAAACAAATAAACAACAACTTGATATGCACTTTTCTTAAAACACAGACAGGGATTTTGGTTAAAAATAAAGTACATTCAGGGGCAGGCCTGGTGGCATAGCAGTTAAGTTTGGGCGTTCTGCTTCAGAAGCCCAGAGTTCACCGGTTCGGATCCCCGATGCGGACCTACACACTGCTCATCAAGCCACACTGTGGCAGCCGTCCCACATAGGAAATAGAGGAAGATGGGCACAGATGTTAGCTCAGGGCCAATCTTCCTCAGCAAAAAGAGGAGGATTGGTGGTGGATGTTAGCTTAGGTCTAGTCTTCCTCCAAAAAAATAAAAGCAAAGTACATTCATTCTCCATTTATCTACTCCCTAGTTTTTTTTCCCATACCATTAATATTTTCTACTAAGGTCATAAAGTGGTAGTGTCATGAAAACAAGATATCACATGTCAAATTCTGTTGATGTGAAGTTGTCCCTATGCAGGATTATGAATACACTCATAACAAGAATAGCTAATGTTTACTCAGAGCTTACTATGCACTAGGCACTACTCTAAGTGTTTCTCTGTATTAATGCATTTACATCCAAAACCTCCTCATTATATAGGTTATCTTATTAACATCCCTATTTTTAAGAGGAAATTATGAAACAGAGTCGGAGAAGCTCGACTTCACATACTGGTGGAATCCAGGTCCAGTTCCAGGAAGTCTGACTCCAGAACCCACAGCCTGAGCACATGCCTTGATGGTTAATTTTGAGTCCACTTGGCATGGGTGTATTACCCAGTTATTTGAACAAACACTAATCTAAGTGTTCTTGTGAAAGTATTTTCTAGATATGCTTAACATCGACCATGAGTTGACTTCCAGACTGCTGGCCTACTCTAAAGATTTTGGACTTGCCTGCCCTAAGGGTTTCAAACTTGCCAGCTCCCACAATTGCAAAGCCAATTCCTTGAAATAATCTCTTAATATACACACATATATCCCATTGGTTCTCTTTCTTTAGAGAACTCTAACTGATACATGTGATGCTATAAGATGTCAGGATGTATAAAGTTTCTCCTCATTATCAAAAGTATGCCCTTACTGGCATGTGCCAACTACTAAATGCTCAAAAATAGCTGTCCTTAATCGTTGAGTAGTTCACTATCCAAGAAAACCTGGATACATAGAGGCAAATTAGTGTTTAAATGATGTTGCAAGAACAACCTCTATTTAAATAAGAGCCTGCTGTCCATCCCATGGGAGGCGAATAGGCTCCCTTTTTTGATGGCTCTTTCTGCTTCTTTCCACTCACTAAAATTCTACTCATCTTTCAAAATTTGGCTTAGCCCTATGTCTTCCATGAAGGCCTTACTGATTATTCAAGTCATGTGGATCTTTCTTCTTGAAAAAACTGAGTACTGGTTCTACATTTCTTATCTTGTCTTCTAATTATTCTTGACTGTGTATCTTTGGTCTACATTAGATTCTGAGCTCCTGAATTCCACATCACGAATTTTCATCATAGATTTAAGCAGGTGATCCAGTAAACAAATATTCAGAAGGTGCTTGTTAGTTTGTCAATTTGACTTGTAACAACTTGGAATAAGGCTCTTTTCAGGAATATAACCTCTGGGGGAATAGCTTATCTATCCCAAGACAATAGTGCTCTACTCAACTGACCATAAAAACTCCAAGTAGAGTACAGCATATATGTAGAGACAGTACAAAGGATGGTCTTACACCACACACTACGTAGTAGCCTAAGAATGTTTTGAAGTTCCATTAAAATTGTCAGTTACATATGTGATTCGCATTACACATTAGTAGAATCATTTTTTAATTAACGAGTATTTCTGATAATCTTGACATTGCTCTTCTTTTATACATATCTAATCACCATAAACTTTAATTATCCTAATGATATTTTAGGGGATCTGATCATGTTAGACCATGACATTCATGATGCGTACGTTCAGAGTCATTCATGAATATAAAAATTCACAAATTTAATTCTACCATACACTATCTTACATAAATCTTATTTCATGGCTAAGAGCTATTATTCATAGTAAATTTATTTTCAGAACATTTTACATCCAGAATAAAAGTTAAATCACCTCCAGGGAGTTTTTCTAAATCTTCTAGCAAGTAGAGATAACTGATGGTTCATTGCAGTGTACATGGCTTAACTATCAACTAAGCAAATTATTCCCTTATATAGATTGTCAGCATATGCATTTTAAATTTGTACCTCAGAAAATTATCACTTTATTATCTCTCGGGAATCTTTGAGAGTATATTATTAGCTAAAACATATGTGTATTTTATTTGGGAAAATGAAAATCTAGGGCACTAACCTGATCAGAGGTGGCAAAATGGAAGCTTAGAGTCCAAAACTGGACAAGAGGAATTTCTTTTTCTTTCTTTCTTCCTCCTTTCCTCTCTTTCTCTCTTTCTTCTTCATCCTAAATGCCCTAGTTGGTAAAATTTTACATAAAATTATATATTTGTGATATATTTAGAGAAATCAAGAGATCTAGCAACATGAGTATGTTCTTGTACGTCTAGCACTGAGTAGCAGTTTCCTCTTAAGGCAAGCTTTATTCTCCCATGAACCACAGTCCTGATCTTATTATTAAAACTGACTAAGAACAGTCATTTAAATGAACTGGTTGTCAGATGTAGAATTCTGAAGATAGTGACAAACTTTATTTATATTATTATTCTAGACTCAAATTCATCCTTAAGGCCTATCTACTAATGCATGGCCAAATACGTGTGAGATTCTTATTAGAAATTCACTTTTTGTGTCCCACCTGCTCAACTACCATCTCATGTAGCACTGGTCATAAAAAATAATACTACTGAAGTCCCCCTGCTGCTTCAGGAGATAAAGGGCATCTTCAGAATCACACAGTTGAGCACCCCTCGTCCCTCAACACTGATGATTTTAAATCACTGCTTGCTTCTGTTTTCTCATTCACATCACCGACAACTTCTGTTAAGGAGGAATTGACAGAATAGCTTCAGAGTGTCATGGTAATAGGTTATTTAGCATTTATTTTGCTTTAGTTAATAAAAATCCTTGTGTTTGCATCGGCAAGGAATCTCTACATGAAGATGTGGTTTCAATGATAATGAGGATATTAAAAGGAAAAGAAATGGAAAAGTGACATCTAGCTGAGTAGACTTTTTCTTATATTAAGCTTATGATGCTGCCCAATATGACTTGTCTGTGGCAGAAGATGAGGTACTTAATTTATCAACACAACAGGCTAGAAGAAAACCCGTTGTGTTAATTGTCCTCATAAATGAAAACCAGTGCCTCGTTAGCCTCCACCATATCATTGTACCCAGGCACTTCATGTCTGACAGAATAATAAGTAACTTCACATGCAGTGCCGCATACCACACACAGGGAAATGCTTTCCTCTCTTATTACCTCAAACAACACAGAAATCTTCCTGCACTGCTGAACTTGAGTCATCTCTCTGAAAAATAAAATAGAAATATGCAACATCTAAAAGCAAAAACAGTGAGTAGGACACATACGTCAAATATTTCCAGGAAGAGGTCATTGATTTCCTCTTCCTTATATCCTCTCTCTCTGACTTCCTATATCCTCTAATGAAGTTCGACTGTTAACCTGCCATTTCCAATCCCACATTTACATGCTGATTTTACTACCTACTTACCAATCTGTTGCAGACAAAGAAGCAATGGGAGGAAGTAAAGTGTTGGAAAATTGTACTTCTCTAAATAAAATCGATGCGTCTCCTATATGTCACACACAACACATGAGCAAAATGTGTGAGGAGATTTTTTGCTCCTCAAGAGGACAGAATGACTGAGAGGGAGGGTACTGCTTTTTGATTCAGAAGAGCCAGCCCCATTTTTCACTAGCTAAGGAATTTTGTCTAAGTCATATAACCTACGTGAGCGTCATTTTGCTTCCCAGTAAACAGAAGATAGCGACAGTCATAATAATAATAATAATAGTAGTAATAAAATACTTCAGAGATTTATAAGAGATAAAGTTTACAAATGTCAATCTAAACTATAGTATAGGTGATAAAAATTACTATCCTGTTAATTCTTCCTCTTCTGAACCACCTTGGATTTCTCACAGCGCTCCATCCTCACTGTGTGTAATAATGGCACAAAGTACTGTCGTATTTAATTCACGTTGACTGTGACCCTGTACACAAGGAAAGAAACCCAAATCAAGAGCTTCCTCTTCCTCAATTCGCTCTCCACCTTAGCTGGATAAAGCCACATCCCATTCAATTAAGGCCTTCCTAGGAGATTATTTAGCTTATCAAATAAATCCCTAATTGCTAGGGTATTACTAGATTAGGGATTAATTAAAAACAAGGAAAAATAATGATGATAGCAACAATAATAATGAAGGAAAATACAATGTCAGGGTTCTTGAAATGGACACTTTCCATATATATTTATCTCATATGGAACTCTCTCTCTGTAAACTTAGATTTATACATATTATCTCATATGTCTCATGGATACATCCTCTATTATTTTATAGAGAGATAATTTAAAAGCTCCTGTATTATCACCATTAGCTAAGCTCACACCATAACTAAGCACTAGATCTCAGCTACCGGATATGGTTTTTCTTTCCCTAGAGCTACAAGACTACTTCTCTAGTTCTGAAACGAAAGGAACACAGCAGGGAAATTCACACACCATGTCTGTCAGCAGAAGACCGTTGAGAAGTTTTCTCTGGCACAGCAGCAAATGGACTTCTGCTCAGGCTGTACAGAGGGCTGGAATAGCGTTCAGGCTGGTCCAAACACGCAATAAAGGGAGAATACGTGAGACAATCTTCTGAATGAATCTACAAGTCAACAAACACCATCACCTTGTGTATTAGAGTAATTTACTCTAGCTGCCCTAACAGACAAACCAATCTCTGTAGCTTAACTATAAAAGTTTATTTCTCACTCTTCATAGCCTGATGCAGATCAGATGTCTTTCTTAAGTCTTATATCTGGTTTAGCCAACTATAAAACACAGTCCCATGGTTGTGTAGCCTGGGAAAGTGAGATGTGAAAGAGACATGCCAACTGTTGGCTGCCTAGATCGCCCAGTTGCACAAGTCACCTCATTTCAAAGGTAGCCATATGGGACAATCCTGTTGAAAAGGAGGCTGAAAATTGCAGGTCAGCTATTGTGGTCACTCCACAGAGGAAAGATGGATCATCTGACCCCAAATTTGATTCAGATATCCAGACTGATGTCACCACACATGCACCAAGAGGATATGAAAGGGTTTATTACTCATATAATGAGGCTTTTGGGGAGAGTGAAGAGAAGCCTCCCAAAGGGGTTCAAAAATGTGCAGATAGAGCCATTTTGTGTCCAGATTATCCAGGACTTGGAGTTTTATAGTAGTTTGGGGCCGGGGTGAGTGTTCCCTCACAAGGGCCAGGGCTTCCATGGTTTGAAATTCCCACTAGCACCAAAGGAGGGAGCATTCGGGCTCTCTTATTAGCATGCCCAGATGTGGGGTGGAGGGGGAAGGAGGAAGAGATATGGCTTAAAAACTATCAGCAGTCAATCATCAAAATTGGAGTCAAACTCTTTATTATATTTCACCCCTGATGTTTGCCTGATTACTGAAATGTGCATGTTTCATTTATTTTCATTTGAACTTGTTTAGGTAAGCTGTTATAGTGCTCTACGAGGCCTGTAGCCTCAAGGTGGTAAGGAAGGCAAAAGTTCCACTAAATGGCTTGTTTGAAAGCCCATCATTGTGTATTCTGAGAAGTGAAATGAGTGCTCTGGTTACGATCAGTAATGACTAAACTCTGAAGGTGGTGAGATGTATCTTGGTAAGTACCTGTGGATTTAGTATGAAGGAGATGTGTGCCTTTGATTTATATTTTCAAAATCTGTGAGGCAAGAGACTCCAGAGTTCTTTACCCTAAAGGAGGAGAACTTAGATATGAAATTGTTGTTGCTTCCATAGCGAGATCAGATGGCCAGATTGAGGACAATAGCACAAGAATCTGTAAAAATGTTCAGAGGGGGCCTACTGTTTTCCAGAGCATCCTGTGCTAGGGTAACTGCTTGAGGTTTAGGCAATTGTGCTAATCCTTCAGCCCCATCCTTTATCAGGGGTATCCTATTAAGGGATGAAAAGCAGCAGCTCTCCAGAAAGCTCCATCACAAGTAACTGTGACACCGTCATCCATAAATACACAGTTTCCCTTTGTTGTTCACAAGGGGCTCCCCACGTAGCCAAGGGGTCCAAGATAGATGTGACCTCCTCAAGCATCATGGCGTTTGTCAAGGGACTGAGGACAGAAAAAGACTACCTCCTCCTCTATGTATAATACACCAGAGGCCCCAGTTTTACTCTATCCTGTAGGTGCACTTTTCATTTGGGCAAGGAGGCCTCTGTGGTTGTGCCAAGCTTGCAAGGTGCTGCTCCTGTGAACAAAGGCATAACGGACACGTGGGCACAGAGTGTTACAGGCTCAGGGCCTGTGAGAGATTCTGTTTCCAGGAGATCAGAGTATCTGATCAGCAATTGCCACTATAATGACATTTACTGTGAGGTCGAGGAAGGCAATTTCTTGTATCAGAAGCCAATGGACCACTTATGGTTATCATGGGTGGTCCAGAGACTCCAAGAGGCATGAAAGGATATAGCTAAATCTTCTACTGTAAAGGGATTTCTTGTGGGAACTAACGAAAGTATCTATTGTATTGAAGTTTGGATAGATACCATAGCCTGTTTTGTAAGAGTGCCATTCAACATGGGCCAAATTGTGAGTTACAGTATAAATGGGCTTAAGTAAAATTTGTAAAGGAGGAGTTTCTTGCATCCAGGACACAAAAAGAACTAAAAGATGTTGGATATATTTTAATGTTGTTGGTTTTCACAGAGTAAATAGATGTCTTGACAGTGTCAGGGATGGAGTGGTCCTCCCTCATGTTATTACCAAAAATTTTCAGGAATTAACTGAGGCTTTGTAGCATGTATGGGACAATGGTTCATCCATTCTTTGTTAGCTCCTTTGTGTATGTCCTGAATGAGTGTGTCAAATGAATCTCTGAAGAGGAGGCCATTAGTTTGATGTCACACCTGTTTTTCTAGAAAAAGTTGGATGTGGTTAAGATATATTCATGCAATTTTATTATTACAGTAATCTCACTTTGAAATATGATAGCTGAGAGATCTGAAATATTGAGAAACTAAAAGATAAAAGGGAAGACAAAAAAAATCTGATAGCTGGAAAAATACTAATTGTTCATCAATTCATGTACTTTTAAATCCAATTACCTTTTCCTGTAAATAATCTCTCCTGCCTATCCCACATGATCTTCAAAGTCCTCCGTCTGTCCTCTGATGTTATCACCCCCACCTCCTCCCCACTTCCCACCACTGCCTCTATGTTCCACTGCTCAGTAGAGAAAGTGTTTCTTTTTCTTCTTTTTTTTGAGGAAGATAGCCCTGAGCTAACTGCTGAAAATCCTCTTCTTTTTGCTGAGGAAGACTGGCCCTGAGCTAACATCCATGCCCATCTTCCTCTACTGTATATGTGGGAGGCCTACCACAGCATGGTGTGCCAAGTGGTGCTGTGTCCTCAGCGGGCATCCAAACCGGCAAAACCCGGCCGCCAAAGCAGAACGTGCGAACTTAACCGCTGTGCCACTGGGCCAGCCCCAAGTGTTTATTTTTCTTTAGATAAACTCCTCCCAACCCATCTTTTTTCACCTGTTGCTGTGCCTCTGACAGAATCCGGCAGATCTCTCTGCCCTCTGCTAAGTTATAGCTCTCTCATCGTTCAAAGCACTCTTCTTCCAAGAAGAGTTCTTGGACTGAGGAAAAGGCATAATAACCTCTTAGCCGTAATCCTGATACCGAATCTGAAGTGAGTTCGCTCACCCGTTGCACAGCAAGCCAATCTCTGATACCAGGTGTGGTGGAAGAAAGTAAGAATTTTATTTTTGCACAGCACTGAGCAAGGAGAGAGGGCAGCTAATGCTGAAATCCCAAACTCCCTGAAAAGCTAAAAGGAAGGGTTTTTACTTGGGGTTTTAGGTAGGGGAGGGGGAGCATATGGCCTTGCTGGTTGGAGCTTTCCCACCAGCCTGTCTTTGGCCTTGAGACACTTGCAGAAAGGAGGGAGCCTGTGACCTTGCTGGTCAGCAGCTTTCCCACCAGCCTGTATCTCTTTGCAGGGAGGAGATAATCCTGGTGCTTGTCCTTGATGGTGTCAATCTCCATGGAGGATAGTGGATTCTGGAGCCAGAAAGTCAGAGAGTAAGCAGGGAATGAGAGTTTTGGTTTTAACCCCATACATGCTGGGTTTAACGTGGGGAAACTGATATCAGGGTTGATATCAATCCTTCTTACAACATTTTTTAAACTTATTAGATATATTTGCATGTTATTACCTGAAAGAAAAAAAACAGTTATATTTATGCTTTTCTATAGACTTTATAGTGAGCTTTCAAATATATTTCTTCATTGGATTATTACAATGGAACTGAAGGTCGTTATGTTTTACATTCTAAAAAAAGAAGAAACTGAGACTCTGGAAGATAGTGGACTGCTTAAGGACTGTCTTAGTCAATTCAGGCTGTTGTAACAAAGTACCATAGACTGGGTAGCTGATAAACGAGAGAAATTTATTTCTCACATGCTGGAGGCTGAAAGTCTGAGATTAGGGTGCCAGCATGCACTCACCAGTATGGGTGAGTTGTGGTGAGAACCGTATTCTGGGTTTCAGACTGCTGACTTCTCATTGTATCCTCACATGGCAGAAAAAGAGCTAGCTAGCTCTCTGGCCTCTTCTTATAAGGGCACTAATCCCATTTATGAGGACTCCACCCTCATGACATTTTCTCCCAAAACACCCCACCTCCAACTACCATCACACTGGGGTTAGGGTTTCAACATATGAATTTTTGGGGGACACAAACATTCAGTCCATTGCAGGGTCACACAGTTGTTAACTTCGAGAGAGAACACAGACCCAGCCTTTTGATTCTTTAGCCTGTTCTAATAGCTTATTATTGTGTTTGAACTCAAACCCCATAGAGTTATGTCTGCACTTTTCCAATGTTAAGAACATCAGGACTTGCCTTATGTGTACGTAAATAGGAGGATGTTTTCAAGGCATGTTTAATGGCAGTCATTAAAAGGCTCTGACATTTTATTTGTTTTTAATTTTTTAATTTTATTTTTTTGTTTATTTATTTATTTGAGGAAGATTAACCCTGAGCTAATATCTGCCACCAATTCTCTTTTTGCTGAGGAAGACTGGCCCTGAGCTAACATCTATGTAAAGGCTCTGACATTTTACGTATTTTTTTCCCTGCACCTATTATTGTGACTTCACTCCACCGTTAGCAATCTATCAACCTGGGTAAAACTATGGTTCATTCCAAGAAACCCTTGCAAAATACAGTTGGAAAAGGAATACTCTTCAATATAATTGATACAGTTAATTGTTGATTATGAATTTGCCATATTACTTAGTATGGATGTGAGAATATGGGCAGTAGAACAGATAACTTTTGGTGGACAGGAGAGACCAAAAGGGTTAAGGATTTGGAGGTCCCACTTTTAGTGGGTATATCCAAATGAGGTTTCATAAAATCGTTCCTGGCTAACACAGGGTCCTGGTTCCAGGGAGGAAATCAAGCGCAGATATGAGAAAGCTGATAAGATTATCTACACAAGCCTTAAGGTTTTATACAGGTTTATTAACTTCAAAAATAACAATAAAATATTAACAGCATTTTAGGGGCAGACTTTAGGCCACA